CCCACAAAAAACAAAAACAACAACAAAAAAAAAGATTCACCCAGGGAAGAATTGGTGAATTTTATATAAGAGATGGAAGAGAATCCAACTTCATCTGGTTGGAAAACTCACCTGCTTGAACTCCACAGTCAGGAGATAAGATGTTACTAAGAGTGTTTGTCAAAATCCAAACCTATTGCTGTCAAACTGGTTATTATTCATGGTGAATCTCCATTAGTTTTCTGAGGCTATAAATTCTAACAGGAGCAGACTATCTCCTCTCTATCCTATGGTGTTTGGTGGATTCGATCAGCCTCACAGCCTGACATTTAAAGCACTATGTCACCAGGGATCATTCTTTGAGGAGTATTTTTCCAAGACCTCCCATTAAAAACCTCTCAACTTAACAAAGGGAGTTAAATCATATTACAGAGGGAGTTAAATCATATTAAGCCTGTTTTGTCAGACAGCCTCAAGAGAATTGCCATTAAATTGTCTGAGTTGTGGCTAGGCACTGAAAACAAGAAATGAAGCATGCTTTAAAAATACATCCAGAAAAAAATCTCCAAAACAACTTCTTGGGTAGTTACTGGCACATTAAATCAGACCAGAATCAAAGAGATAAAAAACTTACTAAATATTTGAGTAAACTTTATTGCCAAATAAACCACAAGCCTGAAATTGTTCAATCCTAATACAGCCCTCAGGCTTCTGAAACTGGTTGTTGGTTATTGTAGAGTGGATTGATTCCAAGTCATGATGTTCCATGCATATCATAAACAGCTAAGCATTGGATTACTGAAAGAACTGAGAGATTGGGGGTTCAAACTCAATAAGAAGCACTTTGAAATGAAGATTTGGTGAGCTGTTTCTGGAAGATCACAGTCTTCAAAATTCTATAGTTGACATGTGGAAAGCTTCTTGTTAATAAAATAGATTTTACTTACAAAAAAAAAAATTCTATAGTTGATAGGTCTATTCTGTACATACTGGTAAATAAATCTTAAAAAAGAACTGCTCATTCCTTAAGAAGAGTACAAGAAGATTTGTCTTCAAACTCAGATGTGACTATGGAAGATAACTAGTCAGGGGTAAAGGTAGAGGCCCAGTGAACACTGGGCAAGGGAATTCTTAGGCAAGTATATATATTCTGGAAAAATACATACATATATACATACACAGAGTTTATATATATATTTCAAATGTACACACACACATTAATTTTGGGTAAATGGAGAATTAATATTGTGATAGATATAATTTCCAGATATTTTTCAACTCACAGACCAACATCTTTCTTTAGATTTTGTCTTTGGACAAAATTATAAATTCTGAACAAGAATTTATAACACATAATCCATAAATATATAAAAATATTTACGGCTTCTAAATTTGCTTC